CTGTGCATGAGAAGAGAAAAAGTGAGGAAAGTAAACAAATGGCTAGTCAAGAGGGAGTGAAACAACCTTGTATCAGGTAAGACAATATTAGAGTTTTTAGCCATTGAACTCTTTAACTGAAATAGTTCGTAATTATTTATGTTATTATTTGCTAGTGCATGAAAAAAAGCGTGGTGTTCTAAATCACATAAAGTCTCCTGGTATTACTAGTCCTGTGTGAACAGGACTTAAAACTAGGGCTGTCCGAAAAATACCATCTTGAGGCTTTTGAGCTTCAGTGATAACTAACTGCAAATGTTCAAAGATTTGACATGATGCAATGGGCCCTGGGGGGATGAAGGGTGTAAGGTGGACTATTGCGCAATCCATCTCAACTGTTCCTTTTCCTCGTCAGACAGCCAGTTTAACTGCTTGAAGCGGCAGTCGATGAGTGCGCTGACAATACTAGTCTCATTCATGTCTGACACTTGCCTCCTCCTTTTAGTTTCCTCCACAAGTTTACTAAGCTCCGAAGCATTTGGTTCAGCCCTACTTAAGATAGTAAGCAAACGTATTGACCTAAATCTCAGTGTTACTTTTTATGAGACAATAATAGCCTATTAACTTAATTTTTAATTGGCTTTAAAACAAAAAGGAACAATGTCCTTTCTCTGCTCCACCCTGTAATTTATGTCTCAATAATTGTTATGGTACCACAATGTGCATTTTAATGACAGTAACTTAATGACAGTAACTTCACCGCGGTCTGAACATTGTGTTTAGCTCTACGTGACTGAGGCCCGGTGATGGCATGAAGGATAAAGTTAGTTCCTCTCATCGTGGGAATCCTCCCAGTTGTGGGAATTGTGCTTTCTGCCGCCTCCATGTATCTTTGTGTGATTTGTCCTCACTCTCTCATGGGTTTTTGTTTGTGCGTTTGGACACGTTTGGCATTCCTTTCGGCAAATGAGGCGGTACCTTCAGAGAGAGATAAGGCTACTGTCAGACAGTGTGTAGCCAAACAGGATGCTGGGCTTTGTTACAAAAACATCTTCGTTAATTGTGCTAGTGACTCAGCTTTTTAGTAAATATAACCTGTGGCACATGCAAATAGTTTCTCTGGTAAGTGTCGACGTCACAGTTGACCTTGCAAGAAAAGAAGCTAGTTTGTAGTGGGTGTTGTCACTATCCTATGTAACTGGTGTATTTAACACAGAAAGCAGAAGCTGGGTTATTAGTGATTAATGTGTATGCAGCAATTTAATAAACTTGTTTTTAAGTTTTTTTGCGTAAAATCTCAATCTGCGAACTAACGAGAACAATACAATGTAGTAATAAGTATAAATAAGCATAAAAAGGTAATACTAGATACAAGATGACAACTTACAGGTATCTCATAATTGCACTTTACTACGGTGTTTGAGTATATGTAAGTCTACCACTGGTGTGTTTTTAATCTGCTTGCGTTGCAACGACTCACACACAAGATTTAAGTAAATTTGCTTCGCTATCTGCCAATCAGCAGTACCTTCAGTGCTTTTCCTCTGGTACATTCCGCACTGGTACATTTCCTCTGGTACATTCCACACAGTAAGAACTATTGCACCATTGACAGGCACACACTGGCACATGCAAGGACTAAACCTGTTTCCTGTAGTCTCTGTAATGACACCATGTTGTTACTGAATGGCACAAAGGAAGGTAAATACATTTCTATGATTAAGTTAATGGAGGCTGTACAGCATTAATTGCAATAATTCGGCCCAGTTGCCAGAAGAAAATGTTGGCATTGTACGTTTCTGCAAACCATTAATACGTTACATTTGTACTTTTCATACATATGATATCAGCGTTTCTAGAGTGACGTAAAATATGAGCTGACTTTGTCATCAGGACATAGAGGGGATGGTGGATGGCGTGACACTCATGTGAGAAGCCTGCCAAGCTGTAGACCACTGTTTAAGACCAATGACCAACAAAAATGATTGTTTTGTAGCGACCAGTCAGTGTGTTTCTAGGGGCTATTTAAGCTTCAGATGTGGCTGTTTTGTAGCAGCCGGTCAGTGTGTTTCCATTGGCTTTTTAAGCTTTAAACATGGGTGTTTTGTAGCAACCGGTCAGTGTGTTTCCATTGGCTTTTTAAGCTTTAAACATGGGTGTTTTGTAGCAACCGGTCAGTGTGTTTCCATTGGCTTTTTAAGCTTTAAACATGGGTGTTTTGTAGCAACTGGTCAGTGTGTTTCCATCAGCTATTTAAGGTTCAGATGTGGCTGTTTTGTGGCGACCGGTCAGTGTGTTTCGAATTGGCTTTTTATGCTTCAGATGTGAGTGTTTCGTAGCGACCGGTCAGTGTGTTTCGAATTGGCTTTTTAAGCTTCAAACATTGGTGTTTTGTAGCGACTGGTCAGTGTGTGTTTATTTTCACTCATTCATTTTCATTTTTTATTGATTAATATACATAATATGAAATGCATTTACAAGGGCACAGAAAGAAAGAATGAACAGAGACACCGACCATGCAGTCAACACCACACGAAGCAGATGTATGTTTTTTTCTGTTCTTTTTTTGGGCTGTGACATTCAAAGCATTTTACAATGGTATGTAGAGATAAAGCCTACAAATGCGATAGCCAAAGCGCCAGCTCAACAATGAGGTCATGCACACATGATCAAAGGCAAGACTAAACAATAGCCGGTCTGTCAAAATGATGGACGACCTTAAGATCAATGTTGAAAAAATTCAGCCGCTGATCGAGAATAATCGGTTAACACGACCTCTGCACCAGATTCAAAAACAGCCTTTTCTCCAGGCTGTCTGGAAGCTTCAGTGGACTAGTCAGATTAGTCATGCTTTTGATTCACTGGTCATGACTCATGAGCTCTGGGTAGTGACCGAAAGAATGAGATCACGGACACAAGAGGCCAAAATGAGTTGCCTCCGTAGGATGGCTGAGCTTAGCCTCAGAGATAAGGTGAGGAGCTCAGACATCCAAAGGGAGCTCAGAGTAGAGCCGCTGCTCCCTCATTTTGAAAGGGGTCAGTTGAGGTGGTTCAGTTGTCTGATCATTATGTCTTGTTGGCACTTCCTGTTAGAGGTTTTCCAAAGTTCTTTGCTCAGCCTGCCTCCTGTGCAATCCGGCCCTGCATAAGCAGATGAACCTGGATGGATGGATGAATGAACTGAATACACACATTTTGACAAACAAATAGGATTTACAAAGAATCTGGCACATTGTCTTCCAATGCACATTATGTATAAAACTCAGGTATCATGGAAGTTACCCAAGTTCATCACTGGTATTTACAGCTTCATTCACTGTTGGAGAGCAACTTTGCAACTAAGTGAGTCTAAGGCAGTGTTGGACTTGTTACTAAAATGTAATATAGTACACATTACTTGTTACTCTTTTCAAAAGTAATGAAATTACTTTACTTATTACTCCCTGCCAGCAGTAATTTGTTACACTACTCGTTACATTACTTTTCCGTTACCCCCCCATAAATTTGGTTATGGTGTATCTCCCCAAAAAATGTGTCTCTGTGTAAATGTCAGGGAAATTGCCGGTAAGTGTAGCTAAGGTCACATAGCTTGCCAATTATTTTTTCTACTGTTGCTTGTGACCGGTATTTTCCCAAAGCTCTGTCTCAAAGACAGAGAGTCACTCATGGAGCAACATTTCATCCACCACATATCCAACCACAAGCTTCATTAGTTCTTTGTAGCTGCAGCTGTCCACGAGTTAAAATCCAGTTTTGGTTGTTAAGCCAGTGTAGAGCTACAGCCGACGTCCGTGGCCAAGGAGGGCTCACTTTTGGTGCGATGTATGTCCTGGAGCTTCACGTTGTTGAGCTGTAGTTCTTAGTAGCTGAGGTCTTTCAGAGCAGAGGTTTGGGGATGTGTTTTTCGTGGAGGAAAGAGTTTTAGTACCACTACCCACAGCAAAATCCCGACAAAATCTAAGTAATGGGAATATTTACAGCGACTAGGGTGAGTGTTTCCATCTTCCAAACTAGCTTGCCTCTTTGTGACGTGGCTAGGCTGCGTGACAATTACGAAAATTAGTCTGTGATGTGATGACAAAAGTAACTTTGTAATAAGTTGTTTGTTATTGGGGTAACTGTACTATAATTGGTGACATTTTATTGGTAATTAGTTACACTACTCTTTGCTGGAAAAAGTAGTATTGTTACTGTAACACATTACTGCCCAACGCTGGTCTAGGGGCATCCTTTGCATCCTTCAAAAAAAGGCACAGCATATGAAAAGACATAACTGGATGCCATAAACTGCTCACACAGCCTTCATAAACAGCCTGTATTATATACACAACATACAAAGAAATCTTTCTAGATCACTGTCAGGTCAGATTCCGCCAAAAACCCACGCAACACAGTGCATGAAAATAAAACACATACACTCGTAGCTCAAATACTAATGTGCAATGCATCAGCCAATGCAAGCATGTCACTGTCAACACACAGAAAACATTCTATAAATCACACGTCACAACATCTAAACTTTACATAAGGGCGCATTCAGAGATAGATTCACCTCCTGTGTGTGTTCGTTCGCCCATCAGTGTTAGTGTGTTTTAAAGAGCCAGTGAAGTGACGCATGAATTAGGGTGTCAGTACTGCCGATAACTTCATACAGAGTATCTGCTTTTGTTTAATAGTACCACAAATAAACAAAAGTGCATCGATTTAAATAGAAGGAAATGAGGAAATATTGATGTTGTAATCTGTGGTATGTTTTAATATTGTTTAAAGATTTTTGTCTTATTTCACAAGTGTGTACATACAGTACATACAACTATGGTTTGGAGTGTTACGTTAAACCGTATATAACACTGAAATGCCACAGCTTCCTGCAGTGCAGCCATTTTCTGACACTGTAAGGAGCTGCACAATAAAATCTGTATGCTAATACAGTAATACATATGCTTCTGTCTAAGTCAAGTACACTTTGGATTTATCAAATCAATTACCAGTCAACAATACACAGTATTACATTATTTCATAAATCATTTGTGGTAATGATTTTACATGTTAATTCCAATATTATTCCAGTTCAGTCAGCTTCACAGTGAAGCTCCTTCTAGTACTGCACGTGCTAAATAAAAACTTGTGGCCACCTGAGCTAAATATGAAATCAAGTCTCCATATTTGTTGGTCTTTACATTCCCTCCACGAGAGCCTTCTTCTTCCTCCTGGTCTTCTTCTGGACCTCAGTTGTGTTGCTGTAGTTGCTGTTACTGCTGGCTCTCTTCATCTGGTACATTACCTTAGCTGCTTCATCAGAGAGAGTCTGGAGGCGGAAAAAGAGACGACAAATCAATGAAAGCCACTTCTCACCTGTACGAAGCAAAAGGATGGTGCATGGATAATGAAACTGCATGTGGAGTTTCTGCACGACAGCTATGAATCAGATAAAACTAACACATAAGTAATATAATTATAAATAATTTCACCACATCCTGGTAATTAAAGTGTAAAATTACCCGTGATTCCATGGTGATGTCATCACATATCGATGTCATGGTGTCCATCCAGTTGCCATAGATGCTTTCTTCCTTTTTGATTGGCCTCTGCTTACTATGGGGCAGAAAGAGTGACATACACACTTTGCCTTAACCCTTATCCTAACTTTGACCTAAACCTAATTCTAATCTTAACACAAAACCAAGTTTAAATGCAAAATAAACATCTACAGGGACCAACAGGGACCCAAATGGGGACACCTGGTCTGGGTCCCCACAATGTGCTGTAAACCAGAGATAAATACACACAAAAAAGATGTGTTAACTTAAAAATAAAATCATTCAGTCTTATATTGTTTATTATATTTATTGTATTGATGAAATCCAAAAATATTTCTAAATGTAAAAACATGTCTTAATCATTAAGTTAAACGCATCGTCATACATTGTCATCTGCCCTCCACCTGGATCAGAGTCGTACCTGATTAATTTGTGCAGGTCTTGCTGTGCCTTTAGTTGCCTCTGTGCTTCCTCCACTCGACCCTCCATGGTTAAACTGGCACAGAGTTGAGCGCAGTGAACGCCAAGTACCGCCATGTTGAGGCTTCCAGCCCAAATCCGACTTCAGACAGAAGAGATGAGAGAAACACAGATAAATGATCTCGAACACAGCAGATCACATTTCTTGACACTGAGGGTTTCAACACTGATATTAAAAATCCACTTTTTAAAGCATTACTTTGACTGTAAACACTGGCATTTATTTTGAACAGTGACTGAGAATCTAACAGACTTTTGTGTTTGATACTCTTTAGTATGGATACCATCAAGGTAATACTGCAAAAGTATACAGTGTGCCAGTAAACCCGAAACTCTGTTAGGGCTTTTAGCACTTCCGGTTCTCTCATCTAAAAGTCAATGCGTTTTTTGAATGGGATTTTGGTATAATTCCTTAAATAAGGTCTGTGGTTAACAAAAGCTTAAGCGAGTTTCATGTTTTGTTCTACGACATAAAACACGTCAGTAAATACCCTACTTGTGAATTTTGAAGCTTTTACGTGTCGTAAAAAAGGCGGTTGCTAACAAGTTGCTCAATACGACTACAAACCCTGTCGGGGACATTAAACGTCATCACCCCCGAACAGGCGAGAGTGCTGGCAGTCCGCCATTACAGCTTCTTATTTAGCTTAAACAGTCCGATTTCCCCATTATACAATGTTTTTAAAATAAAGCGGCCGAAATCAGTTGAAAGCTTAGTGGCGGTGACGTCAAGAGTCATGCGACCGTGGAGTAGTCATGTAGTCCGTTAAAGCCTAACGTTAGCTTTTTACTTCTGGCGATTGCATTTAAGCTTCAAATGCGGTATGAAAGNAAACCTGTAGGTATCATAAACTTGTGTTAGCCACAGATCTTATTTTCTGACATAATCCAAAATGCAATGCAAAAATCACATTCACTTTCTCTTCCGGGAACCAGCGCGATGCTAAACTTCCGGGTTTTGACGTCAGCCCTGGCACACTCTATTTTGAGTTCACTATTCAGGCGTACAGTGTTTACCTGCAGGTAGTAACTGGTCGCTGCTCAGTGATAACACGAGTGACTTTGTCTTGGTCTCTGGTCTTGAAGCTCAGCTGGAGTTGGAATGGAAGTGTGTCCTTCTGTAGAAAAACTGGGTGCGGGTCCCCACGATGTTAGTTGGGCTATGAGGACATAGTCCCCACAGTGTAGTGTAAACCATATCACAGAAAATGTCAGTGTTGATTTTGTATGTGTTACCTTCCATAAATTCTGGTTTTACAGCGAACTGGAAGGTGATCTCCAGCCCCATGGTCACATTCCCTATCTCTCTCACCAGTTTGTGATTGTTTTCCTCCTCATAGGGAAAATACCTACAGAGAAAGAGAAAGAAGAGAATCATACTCACTGCCCACTTTATTAGGTACACCTTGCTAGGACCAGGGTGGACGCCCTTTTTAATTCTTGGTGTCATAGATTCAACAAGGTGCTGGAAACATTCCTCAGAGATTTTGGTCCATATTGACATGATGACATCACACAGTTGCTGCAGATTTGTCGGCTGCACATCCATGATGATAATCTCCCGTTCCACATCATCCTAAAGGTGCTCTATTGGACTGAGATCTGGTGACTGTGGAGGCCATTGGAGTACAGTGAACTCATTGTCATGTTCAAGAAACCAGTCTTCTGCAAACCTTGGTTGTAACCAGTGGTTATTTGACTTACTGTTGCCTTTCTATCATCTTGAACCAGTCTGGCCATTCTCCTCTGACCTCTGACCTCTGGCATCAACAAGGCATTTTGGCTCACTGGATATTTTCTCTTTTTGGGACCATCCTCTGTAAACCCTAGAGATGGTTGTGGTGAAAATCCCAGTAAATACTCAGATCAGCCCGTCTGGCACCAACAACCATGCCACGTTCAAAGTCACTTAAATCATCTTTCTTCCTCATTCTGATGCTCAGTTTGAACTGCAGCAGGTCGTCTTCACCATGTCTACATGCCTAAATGTATTGAGCTGCTGCCACATGATTGGCTGATTAGCTTTTTGCATTAACGAGCAGTTGAACAGGTGTACCTCATAAAGTAGCCGGTGAGTGTAAAATCCCTGTGAAAAAGCTATGTTGTCAGGTATGGATATGTACAAAAGGTACACCCAAAAGTAACCCTTAAAGTTCCTGTCTCTGTAATTTTGATTTCACTCACATTCCATCAGGACCAAGTAGGGTCGCTGTGACTCCTGTGGCAAGGATGTTGTCCATGGAGGCAGACTGGATCTCTGTTGCAACAGTACCGATGCTCACGATGTTTACCTGTGCAGGAGAAAATGCAGTATTGGGGGAAGAGAATGAAACACAATACAGGGGAGAGAGACACTGTTCACTATGACAGATCTCAAACAAGTTCCAAGTCTTTACAGGGGAATGTTCATAATTTACTGAACTAAAACTGGCAGCTGCCTGGATAGAAGTTAGGGTTGGGTGATTGGACGACTATATCAGCTTCTGGCTGAGTACATCACCAGTTGTTTTTTCAGGGCATTTTTTATTTGGCTGATATTTGTCATTTTACTCAGCTGATTAATGGTCTTCCTCCAGAGAACGAATGAGAGCCACTGTTCAGCGGGCACAGTGCTAGAAAGAAGTGTGGAGACAGGTCTGGCTATGTGAAACTACTGAGCGACAGACTCTCATTCAGCAAGCTAATCTAGCAGCACAAAAATGCCAGCAACGGCAGAGAGAGACAGCGGAGAATAACTGTGGACAGTCAGCATATTTTCACAACTAACTGGGTGAATTAAGGTGCTTTCACACCTACCCTGCTTGGTTCAGTTCATTTGCTGCCTAAGTGCGGTTCATTTGGGCAAGTGTGAACACAGCAATCACACTCAGGTGTGCACCAAAACAACCGGACCGAGACCTTCTTGAAGAGGTGGTCTCACTCTTCTTCGTTTTGTTTACTTCCTGGATTCTTTTGACCAATCAAGAGCAGCTTTCTTGAACAAGATATTTTATGTGGTCCACTTGTAAATGCTGCTGTGAGAACACAAACCAACTCTAAGCAATTATGCAATAACAAAAGTAGTCCCTGATTCAGACCAAAGCAAGACAACGCTAGGTCTGAAAGCACCCTAAAGGCTCATTTATGCTCAACGTTAAATATGGATCCGGATACGGATGGAGCCTTCTGCCCGTGCTCTGCGTTCATTTCGTCCGTATTTCTGCACGTTTCCATAAAGCTTACAGATACGGGCTAAACGGAGCAGTACCACCAGAAACCGTGGGGGCAGTGTTGCTGTCACTACCCGATACGTAGCTCTAGTGAGACACAAAGAAGAAATAACAAATAAATTTCTTTCATCAGCAGTACTAGAGAAAACAATTCTCTGTCCTCCAGTCACGATGTATTTAACAGCCTCACCGACCACCGCCTCCTACAACGCTGCCTCTGTTTTTGTCTTTTATGCAAGAGGTACGTTATCAATATCTCCTCCACAGTCGCCATGTTTGTTTTTGAGTTTGTTGTTGTCATAAACTTTTGACGCTGGGCTGCCCCCTGGTGAATATATTGGTTAACATCCATGCCAACGTAAAGGGCGCATGGAAGTATGTGGGCAGTGACGGTAACATCATTTGAAACGG